TTAAAATCTTTAAATAGAAGTTAATGCTGAAAAACAGCAAAGTTTTAAGATGGACATAATTGTTCGTGTGTGTACATTTGCTTTTAAAATGCAATGTATTACATCTAGACAAATTATTTCAAGTAGCCAAGTTCAGTATATTTTGGTTTCCTGCTATAAATTATGCTACTTTTTATGAGTGTCTCTTCTTACAGAATGAATGGTAGTTACATAGTCTTTAAATGCCAAAGAGAATACTAAAACACTGTCAGTTAAATTTTCTTCAGCTTGATAATGTTTTCTAAAGGATATGTGGTCATCCTAGGTGTATGACTAATTTCAAATGACCATGTACGATGGATAGAATTGTGTTCTTTTAGAGTGTATGTGCAATTAATAGTGGTTACTGTTGTTTCATGAAATCTCTTGGAAGATTATTTTGGAGGGGTGTAAGTCATTTTTGATTATGCACATATATATTTTTAATCTCATTTCTATATAGAAGTAAAGATGTCATTCTTTAAAAAAAAATGACTAGCTCTGTTTATTTAGAAAGATAGTGAAAAAACAGGAATCATTTGTTATTACGCTGTAGTTGTTGGGACAGCAGCACTGATCTGGTCAACTAACCTTTAAAAGAAAGTGCAAAGTCGTAGATGTCAGTGTGGTAGCTGTAGATATTCACTGGCAAAGTTTTTAGAACAATGATTGGAACTTTAGGAGACGCTCCTGGGATTTAGTGTACTCTAACATCTATTAATCCCTGATACGTTAGGTGACTTGTCAAAGAAGTGCTGCCTTTACAAGGGGTTTGCAAGGAGGCCCAAGAGGGCACATTCAGCTAAAGGTCAAGGAAGCAATTAATGTTCTCTGCTTTTCCCTAAAGAACTTCCAGAGCAAAAGCTGCCCCTCCACGCCCCATCTTAGCAAGGCAAGTGAATCTAGTGAAGTGAAAGTTAAAGTTCAAATACAACATATTACCAATATTATTTGGTTCTTAGAGCTCTTCCTGTGAATGTGAATACATGCCGTAGTTTAAGGAGAAATATAGTGAAATATATTAGAAGAGGTGACTCATGCTGAAGACTATCTGTTTTTCATCTCTTTGTTTTCTCTGCATCTCTGCCAAAGGTCAGTGTTTGTGGTGGTGATAGAGTGGGTGGTAGAGGGGGGCCCCTCTGTGGCATGCAGTGAGATTAGAGTTCTTTGGAGAATGCTTGGTTCTGTCTGGATCCTAGACAGGGCTCTGTGAAGGGATCACAGAATTTAGGACTGGAAATCATCTTGGCTGAATGTCCCTGCTGGATTATGGCCACTGAAGGAATTTTCCAACAAGGGCAAACTTAATTTACCTCCATCTTTCCACTATATTCCTTGATGCTAGGAAATGATGTTACTGGAGCTCATAGGACAGTTTGACAACTACATCTTCCCTTAGGACTCAGAGACTCAAGACCCCTCACTCCCGTTCTTGCTTCAGTGCCGTGGAGAAATTGGAAAGTCTCTTGAGGCCTTCACTTTCTTACATGGTGCATGTTCATCATCTCAGAAAGGCCCCACTGTTGTATGTATATCTCTCTGTATTTTGTCTCATTCATTCATTCATCCATTCATCTATTCTTCTTTTACGCATTTCCTACTTCCTTTCCTTTTCCACCTCCCTCCTGGCAACCATTCTAGTGTGTTTGATATGTATCTTTGATAAATATTTTCATGCATATCCATTTAAGGACTTGTGTAAAAATTTGGGGGTGGGGGCAGGATTGCTGGATTGTAGGACATTATACAAAATGTCCTACAAAATACCTTAGATTAACAAAATACCTTAGATTGCTCTCCAGAATGACTGCAACATTCTGTATTCTCACCAGTGGTACCTGAGGTTCTGCCATTCCCACAAGCCCCCTATCACTCAGCACTGCCCAGCTTCTAATTTTTGTTAGTTTAATGAGTATAAGAGATACCTTGTTTTAATTTGTCTATATCTGAGTTGGAACATTTCCATGTTGCTTTGTGGCTTTTTTGGTTTCATCTTCTGTAATCTGCCAGTTTATCTCCTTTGCTTATTTTTCATTGTGGTTACTGTCTTTCTCCTTGTCAATTTGGAGGTTATACAGGTTTCTTGTATATTCGAGATATTATCTCTTTTCAGTCTTAGACATTGTAGAAGATCTTTTCTCATCTGTCATCTTTTAATCTCATCCACACTTTTAATCTTCATTCACAGAATAGAAATCTTCACTTTTGATATAAGAATATTCATCACTTTTGGGTATTGCAGATTTTAAGAAGGTTTTCTCCTCCCTACTTTCACAAAGATATCATCTTATACTATTAATTTTTTTTTTCCTCTTACATTTGGTCTTTAATCCCTCTGGAATCTGCCTTTATAAAAGATTTTACGTAGAGATCCAGTTTTATTTTTCTCCATATAATGTGGCAGCTAACCCACCCCCTCTATCTACATGGGTTTGTCTCTGAGATCCCTATTTTGCCCACTGGTCCATTTATCTCTTGCAACAATACCATACTGTTTTTGTTACTATGGCTTTGTGGTATACCTAAATATCTAATAAAGCAGATATTCTCCTACCTCTTATTCTTCTTTTACAAAGTTAACTCTTTATGGATGTTTATTCTTCCATTTAAGTTTTGGAGTGAGTATATCAAGTTTCTTAAAAAAGCTAACTGGAATTATGATTGATTTTGTATTGAATATATATGACATTTTTATAGTATAAGTCACCCCATTTGTGTATAGAGCCTCTCTCCATTTATTCATATCATCTTTTATATCTTGTACTAAAAAATATTTCAAAACAGCAAGTATGAATTTGGGACTGCTGAATGTAATTTCAGCCTTGAGGTATGTACAAGAATTTTGAAAGACGTGTTTAGAATGGCAGACATTTAACATGTCATCTAGATGTAAGCAATGATTCTATTCTACTTGAAAATAAAGGACTGCAGCCCTAGATACCCTTATTGGTTAAGTTCTCTCTGAGGCAGGGCTTTGCCCAGCTCAGCCTACCTCATGAAGGGAGGTGGAAAGGGGGTATCAGCACATGAGGGCTGACATTTTAAGGCACAGCTACCCCTCACACTAGGAAAAACCGTGGTCCAATCCACATTTTAAGCTGCTAATCAGATGACTGGCTTCTCCTGTCTTGCAAGGAGAAGCTAGTAAGGGACTAGAAAAGGAGGAAGACATGGGAAAATGTGCCAGAGTGTTCTAATGTATAACCTCATCTGTTTCCTGGATTATTCCCCAACTAGGGCTGTTCAAAGATGCCTCTTCATCTTAAAGCTCCCAGTCCCTTCTTTGGAGTAACAATCTTACTTTCTCAGTTCACAGTGATGTCACCATTCTGCGGTAAATACCTCTAATCTATAATTTATCCTCCACGTATAGATACATAGACTCCACATCACACTGTTACCATTTTCTTTAATTTTTTTTTGTGTGTGAGAGAACATTTAAGATCTACTCTTTTAGCAAATTTCAAGTATACAGCACATTATTATTAACTGTAGTCATGGTGCTGTACATTAGATCTCCAGCACTTATTCATCTTACAAACTTTGTACCCTTTGACCTACATCTCCCCATTTCCCCCACCCCCTGCCCCTGGTAACCACCATTCTACTCACTGCTTCTACAAGTAACTATAGAATTTTCAATCAAGTACCACACAATCCAATATTTTTGTTTATGTGGTGATCTTGTTTTATCATTTAGTTTCATGACCAAAATATAACAACAGTTACAATGACAATAATTATAATAATTTATTGAACTCTATGTAACAAAGTGCTAAGCACATTATATACATCATCTCATTTAAATCTTACAACACTATTTGATGTAGGTTCTTTTATCTTTCACATTTTATAAACAGGGAAATGGAGGCTTAGAGAGAGATGTGTATCTTGCTCCATAACTAGTTTTTTTTTTTTTTTGCGGTACGCGGGCCTCTCCCTTTGCGGAGCACAGGCTCCGGACGCGCTGGCTCAGCGGCCATGGCTCACGGGCCCAGCCGCTCCGCGGCATGTGGGATCTTCCTAGACCGGGGCACGAACCTGTGTCCCCTGCATTGGCAGGTGGACTCTCAACCACTGCGCCACCAGGGAAGCCCCATAACTAGTTTCTGAATTCTTAGAGACAACTGGATTTTTAAAAATTATATCATAGCTTTTTAATAGTGCAGAGAGGGGCTTTGGAGCAACCAAAAAGGAGCTCAAATTTTGGCTCCTTCATTTACAATTTGCATGAGCTTGATCAAGCTGACAAAGCCCTCTGAGTCTTAGTTTCATTATCTGTAAAAGTGCAAATAATAATGCCTACCTCACAAGTTGTTGCAAAAATTACGAGAAATATTATATACATATTTACCGTGGTCTGGCCTGTGAAGTATGTGCTCAGTAATTGGTGGTTGATGTTGCTTATGAAACATACGTGATATTGTGGATGTTAAGATGCCATGAGTTGTCACCAAATAATAATATAAAATAAGTAATAATAAAATAATACAAGGGTATATTGTTGGGTGGTATCAAATGTCTTTTGTCTGGATAAAGGCAGGTCATAAAAGATCTGCTACTATTCCATTATTCAAATAACTGGCATCGCACTGTGTAGCCAGTACGAATAGTTGAGATCTTAGATTCCATCACCAATCTTTCTTTTGCTCTGTGAATAGATTGGTAGCCTTTAAAATACATTGCTTTTTAAAAAAGTATATCAGTTATTGTTTATTTCACATAGCATTTCAGAAATGTCTATTGGTGATTTCAACCTCAGTGAAATTCAGAAGGATGTTGCTATCCTGATGTATGAAATATTAGCTTCTGTTGAGTTATTTTCAAATAGCTTACCTTACTATTACTATGTTGCACCTAAAATCAGTGCCTATTCAAAAGCAACTTAGCATAAGTAGAGATGCTGCACTTCCATCAGGTTCTCCTTCGCTATGGTTTAGTACCACAACCACTGCCTTGTTTTTTTTTCCCCCTCCTTTCAGAGAACAGAGAAGCCGATGATGACAGGAAAGTGGTTGCAGAGATCATGCAGAGGTGTTTTGTTCCAACTTTAGTAACAGCCATCTCCTGGGAGGGATTTCATTTCGTTGGTCATGAGATTCGGATTACTGAAGCCATGGATTGTTACGGTGCTGTTGTTTGGCCATCGGTATGAATTCATACAAAGTTTGCTGCATTTCAATGAGTTCTCATCCAATGTTGTTCGTTATTATATACTGTTTGGAAGGAGAAAGGAGGCTCCATGGTTCTCTTTTGTGACCTCAAACAACACTAAAATTTAGAAATCACGAAATAGGGAAGATGCTTTTACCAATGAATTCTATTTCTGATTTGTAGCGTTAATAAAGAGTGTTGTTTACACCTTCAGTTTTTTGTGACTATAAGTCACAGAAGTTTAGAATAGTAAACATTTTAATTTCCCATTTAACTGATTCCATTTGAGTTAAACAATTATAATGAAATCCATTTCAGTCTCAACACGCAGAATATTCTAAAAGACCACCACTTATTTATCAATTGTCCTATGAAGGGTGCAGACCCCCTCCCCCCACTGTCTGCCTCAATCCCAAACACACACTTCTTTTTTTTATCTTTTATAAATTTATTTATTTTTGTCTGCATTGGGTCTTCGTTGCTGTGCACAGGCTTTCTCTAGTAGTGGTGAGCGGGGGCTACTCTTTGTTGCCGGGCATGGGCTTCTCATTGTGGTGGCTTCTCTTGTTGCAGAGCACGGGCTCTAGGCATGTGGGCTTCAGTAGTTGCGGCACGCGGGCTCAGTGGTTGTGGCTCACGGGCTCTAGAGCGCAGGCTCAGTAGTTGTGGCGCATGGGCTTACTTGTTCCGCGGCATGTGGGATCTTCCCGGACCAGGGCTTGAACCTGTGTCCCCTGCATTGGCAGGCGGATTCTTAACCACTGCGCCACCAGGGAAACCCCACACACTTCTTTAAAATGACTGTTATTATTAGAAGTTGCTGCTTTTAAGGATAGTCAAGCCTAAGTAACTGAACTCTATATTCTTAGTTCTCTTTTCTCCCCAACAATCCCCAAGGACTTTTCCTATCCTAAGTGTTGAACCTATTGAAGGATGTACTTCTGTGGATAATTTTCTGTAGTGATGTGTATGGATGCACACATGCACTCACATGGGCTCACATACGTATCATAGCGTTCGTGGGGTATTTATCTAATAGAGTTTAATTTTACTTTCTGTGATTACTTGCCAAGCACTACTTTTTTCTTTTTTTGAATTTTCATAGGCCCTTGTTCTATGCTATTTTCTGGAAACAAATGTAAAGCAGTATAACATGGTTGACAAAAATGTGATTGAAATTGGAGCTGGAACAGGGTTAGTCTCCATCGTGGCAAGTTTACTTGGTAAGCAGGTGTTTTTGATTGAGTGGGATCAGCGAATTCCATGATCCTGTATCATTAGTTGCTTTTACTATCCAGTTTACTATGACCTAGGCCTATTTTTAACCCCTTAATTTGTTGAATGGGCTTTATCAGGAAACTGATGTTAAAGTCACCCATTTGGTTTTCTGGGAAGCTGGATTTTTATCCTGGCTAACTGGGATGTGCACCCCAGCATCCTGACTGCTGGAGGACGTGTGAAATACTAGGCATAGGCAGAGCTGACTATGCGGACTCAGACGATCTTTATTTAAATTTTAGCCCCATTTCAACATTCCCATGTACTTGTATATTCCTTTTGGGTGTTGAAGTCCTATACTTTTATGAAAAAGCATCTGTTAGAATAGAGAAAAAGTATGAGAAATCACGTCTGCTTCTAAGTTTAGGCGTTTGTCCATCAATTTTCTCAGTTATTTCCATTTTTCTTTTGCAATCCCTTGTTCTTCCACCAGCATCTTCTTTTCCAACTAAAAGTGATTGTCTATATGTAAGCCTGAGCCTGCTTCAGTTCAGTCTTTTTTGTTCCTGTTATCTATTTCATGGCCTTAATTTAGCTGCCTTCTCTGATGTGTGCTGCCCACATCTGTCCTGATTTCCTTCATCTTCAGAAGTGCACACCTGCCACTCTAAAATCTTGAGAGGAATTCAAGATTTAGCAGTTTACAACTTTCTAAACACTGGGGAAATATAAGACCCTTGAAGTCCTCTCCAAATATAATTTTTAGATTGCTCTGTCTTGATATTGCTTTCTAAAGTCACCATTCCATTTAGTATGGACAGTGTCAGAGGCACATTGGATTTATTCCTGAAGGCTTCCTCATTTAAGAGCAGAATTTGTGTTTTGGGAAGTTGTTCATTCATAATTAAAAAATATTTTTTTATTGGAGTATAATTGCTTTACAGTGTGTTAGTTTCTGCTGTACAACAAAGTGAATCAGCTGTATGTATACATATATCTTCTCCCTCTTGGACCTCCCTGCCCCTCATCCCACCCATCTAGGTCATCACAGAGCACTGAGCTGAGCTCCCTGTGCTATAGTGCAGGTTCCCACTATTTATTTTACACATGGTAGTGTATTTATGTCAAACCTAATCCCCAAATTCATCCCACCCTCCCCTTCCCCACTGTGTCCACATGTCTGTTCTCTACGTCTGTTTCTCTATTCCTGCCCTGGAACGGTACAGGTTCACCTGTACCGTTTTTCTAGATTCCACATGCATAATACATCGTGTTAATATACGATATTTGTTTTTCCCTTTCTTGCTTACTTCACTCTGTATGACAGACTCTAGGTCCATTCACATCTCTACAAATGACCCGGTTTCATTCCTTTTTATGGCTGAGTAATATTACATTGTACATATGTACCACATCTTCTTTATCCATTCATCTGTCAGTGGACACCTAGGTTATTGTAAATGGTGCTGCAATGAACATTGGGGTACATGTGTCTTTTTGAATTATGGTATGATCCTTTTGGTCTGCTCCTATAACTTGAAACAAATATCAAAAGGTGGAAACTTTGTTTAGTCAGTGATGATATTTACCTCTCTAGACACAAAGATCTTAATAGTCAGATAGATTCTATTCCTATGGGCAGGGTCGGGGGACAGAGGGGGTCCTTCCTTATCTTGGGATTTTAAAAAGATTTGTGAAAAATGATAGACCCACCCACCCCACTAGAATGTAGAGATTCATATCTCTGTGATTCTACCAATGAAATGCTTATTTTCCTCCCATTTTAATATGTTCCAGAAAATACAGTCAGTGGCCAGAGAAACTTGCCATCTTGGGTGAAGAATGGGCTGTAAACCAGTCTGAACTAGACTTCCCTTCCATTTCTTCTTTCATGTCTGATGATGTAGAAACAGCCAATCCTAGGCTTATTTACACATTGTTTTCAGGCTCTGCTACTGCTCAAAATTCACTTTAAGGGCCAAATTTTATTGGTTTTTGCTTTCTGATTTCTTCCTGACAATGACCACCAGTATTCACTTTTACCTTGGGGATTGTTTATCTCTTCTTCATCTGAGCATTCTGTCCTGCGTCTATGATCTTTGGTTGTATGAGCACTATATGTGGGTTGTAGCTAGGTTTTAACATCTCTTAATGGGAAGAGACAGACTTATAATGGGGTCCAGCTGAAAAGACTTATAATGGGGTCCAGCTGATCTTTGGTTGTATGAGCACTACATGTGGGCATGAACATGGGTGTCCTGATACTTTCCATGTAATGACATTGAAAAGTCTTCTCTCCTCCCTCCATTTCTCACACTTGAGCACTTCCTGGTCAACGATAACGATGCCCAGTGTTATATACACCCGTTTGGTCTCACATGACTGGGGCTCAGACTTCTTTTAGTGAAGAACCCTTTCATCTTTCAATTGTGACATCTGATTGTTCCAATGAGGGTACCAAATACTTTGAATTTCCCTTTCTCTTGATTTTTTAAGTAGATAAATAGAAAATAACAGCAACAATAACAAAACAAGACAGACAAAAACCGAGGAGAACAGAAAAATGCAGCAGAGTGCAGAAGTGCCTGGGGAATCTAATTGTTTGTAAGGAGAGGCATAAAGGTGCCTTAGCATCCATTTTGAAGGGATTTCCCTCCTGTGTGTACTGACCAGTCCTTGACATGAGGTTAGCATTTGTGCAGAATTGTAAAGTGCATGGTGGCTTGAAATCTAATTGCTTTACCTTATCCCATGAAGGTTACTTTTCCTACTGTCCTTTGTTTCCCAGGTGCACACGTGACTGCCACAGATTTACCTGAGTTACTCGGAAACCTGCAATATAATATTTCCCAAAACACCAAAATGAAATGTAAGCATTTGCCTCAGGTTAAAGAGCTCTCCTGGGGTGTAGCTTTAGACAAGAACTTTCCCAAGGCTTCCAGCAACTTTGACTACATCCTGGCGGCCGATGTTGTCTATGCTCATCCATTTCTGGAAGAACTCCTCATTACTTTTGACCATCTGTGCAAAGAAACCACCGTCATCCTCTGGGTCATGAAATTCAGGTTGGAGAAGGAAAATAAATTTGTAGATAGATTTAAGGAGTTGTTTAACCTGGAGGAGATTTCCAGTTTCCCTAGCCTGAATATTAAGTTGTATAAAGCTATGAAGAAAAATTGGAGGAGTGCATGATATCCTCAGAGGAGGACTTGGAAAGGGAAGGCAATTTCTAGTGATTATTATTGCTTTAACAAAAAACCTGGATGATCTGATATAGCTGACTTTTCCAAGGGGACACACACACACACACACACGTGCACACGCACCTTGCCCCAGACAGGGATTTTCCCAGATATAGCACACAGGTGTATAGGATGGCAAAGCCATTCTGTGTGGTAATTGGTTAGGACAATGTCTGCTTTCCTTATCTTTCTATAGTACTATTTATAATTATTATCATCTTAATAAATGGTGCAATTATTGTTAATGTATAACTGTAGAATGATGGTTTTTAATAATAGTATGTCTAAAATGTTTTAAACATAAGCTTATGTGATTCTCTCTTTAGAAATAATGAAATGGACTATAGTGGGCTCTACAAATAAATCTGACTAGGCAGATAGAGAAGGTAATGGTCAATGTTAGATTATTGTGGCTTCATTAGTGCCAGCTTATTGGTGGTCTGTCTTCTCTGCTTGGCAGGGTGGGTCTCCAGCACACCCTCTGAAATCAGTCAAGCTGGTGGATTCGAGGTTACAGGCAAGGACATTTCACTCCAGTAAATGAAAAATGAATGGAAGAAAACATAAAATCAGTTGAGATTTTGGAGGAGCCATTGTTTTATTTTTAGGCCAAGTACAGTTATTCTGCATCACAGAAAGAGAAATAAATATAAAAACTTTTCGTGTGTATAAAAATACACATGAAAAGATTTCAGTCTCTAATCTCAAATAACCAGACATATGGCTGGTTTTAAAGTTTAAAGCTCTTCTGATAAACATATAGAGACCTAGATATTTGAAATCCTATGTGCTTTTTTTTTTTTCACAAGGACCTTAGAGATTAGAATAAAGTCTGAAGTAAGTAAAGTCAGTGCAAGAAGAGCAAAATATTAGGATTTTGTACCACATAAGAAGACTAGCGGTTGGTAACTCTTCCGGGTTCTCGGTGATGTTGGCTAGGCAGGCTCTGTGCCCTCGGGGTGGTCCTTGCCCAGCCCTTTCTGCTTTGCTGGAAGTTCTCAGTCTACTCAGGGTTGAACAGAGCTGAAAAGTTTATTTCCTAGGACTCTGACCTTAAGCCAGGATGCAAATGTACTCTCAGTGGGTTTTTTGGTATGCACGGTTCCTGGGGTCATCTCTCAATAATTACCAGTATTTATACGCCCCTTTATAGTTTTCACAGCCTGCTGTGTACATAAAGTCAACTAATCCTCACAACCATTCTAAGAGTCTATGTAATATCAGTATCCCCACTGCATAGGTAAAGGAGCCGAGGCCACCAGGGGTGGAGCCACACAGCTGCAGAGTGGCAGCGCTAGGCACTCAGGCCCAGGTCTGAGTCCAGAGCCTGTGTTTTTTTTTTTTTTTTTTAACCATTGCTCTGCCTTTATATATTTAAAACAGTAATTTTCCAACTCTTTTGTAAGTGAGTGAAGTCATTTCTTTCAAGTGAAATCAGTACCTGGAAAGGTAAGCAAATGCATCAGGAGAAGATGAGAATCTTTTTCTCTGGTGTCAGGGAGGCTCATTTAGAAGGTGACATTTAAGCAAAGCTGGAAGGAGGTGAGGGAAGCAGCAGTGCAGGTATCTGGGGAGGTGTGTCCCAGGCAGAAGGAACATCTCTGCCAGGACCTTAAAGCCGGAGCCCACCGGTCCTCAGGAGGAAACATCGGAGGCCAGTGAGCTCGGAGCAGGGCGAGCGGGGAGGCTAGGAAGCTTCAGTATCGGCGGCGGGACGGGGCCTTCGTGGCAGGCTGGGTTCTCCGGGAGCAGGCCAGGAGGCGGCATTTGATGTGCAGGCCATTTTTAGGGAGTGTCGTGGGGATCAAGACCTGTGGAAGGGGCAGAAGGAAGCGGGGCAAGGTGGAGCTGCCGTGCACGGCCTCAGCCGACCCACCCCCATGGGGCTGTGGACCTGGGGGCGGGGATGGGGGGCGCTGAGACTGCTGAGCCTTGATAACCCGTGTCGCACAGTCACCGGACGCAAGTGGCCCGGGAAGGCTGTGACCTTGGGCGAGGTGACTTACGCCGGGGGGTCGGGTGAGGCGATGCCCGCGGACGTGGACAGCCCAGGGCCGCCGGCCAGCAGCGCTGCCCGCGTGGAGGCGATGAGTCCTCCTGAGGGGTCTGAGCAGCACATCAGGGCAGCCGCAACCTCAAGGCCATTGCGAGGACCTTGGCTCTTCCTCCGGTGAAGCGGAGGATCGCGGGATGGTTTGGAGTGGAGGAGTGAAGCAGTTACCCCTCCGTGTAAGGACCACTCCGGCTGATGTTCCTAGGATACTACGCAGGGCGGAGGGACCAGCGGGGAGGCTGTGGTGGGGATGGCAGCCCGGGCCCCCGCGGGGACTGTGCCTGGAGGTGGCGAGAAGGGGTCGTTTCTAGAAGAGTCTGGAAGCTAATGCCCACCGACCTTCTCTCCATGTTGAGTATGAGTGTGAGGCTGACTCGGGAGTGTTTGGTCCGAGCTGCTGGACATCACAGAACAAAGAACATCAGAGTCATCGGCTGAGAGGTCGTTTGCACAGCTCACGCGGGGAGCAAAAGAGTGAACAGGAGCTGGAACGAGGACTGAGCCCCCAGGTGGCCGCGCTGAGGTCAGACACAGCTAGACCCGAGGTATGTTTTCGAGGCTCTGCCCTCCTTCCCCCAAATTATATTCGGGTCTGTTGACTCTGAAAGAATTTACTGCTACTGTGGTTTTTGAGCTGGCCAGCAGAGTCTCAAGGTTCCGAGAAGCTGCCTCAGAGGCTTCTAGGAGGGTTTTAGGTGAAACAGCATGAATCTTGGGGTAACAAATGAAAAAAATGGCTCCTCTGCTAAAAAAAGGTTGTATATCACTACTAAGCTATTTTTAGTTAGACTAAAGTATCCTTCTTTCAAAGACTGTGTTAGAACCAAGCCAGCCGTGTGGTTCTTAACAGTTCCTCTTTCTCCAAGTGTCAGTCTGTCAAACACAGTGCTCAACACCCATTGTTTTATTCTGTTTTATAGCATTCCCTTGCAAATTGGAGCACCCACCCACATACCCTGTGTCTCTCCTGCTTCACTCCATTCTGCGTGTTTGTCTACTTTTATCTTTGTGCTATCTTTTCTCCACACTTTTCTAGATTCAATTTTACAATAATTGAATTCCAAAAGATGTAATTTGAGTAGCTTTTTTCTATCTTACAGTTTTTTTTTTTTAATGGCTAGGAATTGATGTGTTAACTTTAACCCAAGAGAATTTACTGTGAATTTTGCCTTTGCTCCCCTTCCTTCCTCCCTCCTTCCCTCCCTCCCTCTCTCTCTCTCTTTCTTTCTTTCTGTCTTTCATTCTGACAGGTTAAACTACGCTACTGAAAACCTTAGTCTATTTCTTGCAGTAACTTTCTGGGTTTCTAATAGAGTAACAATACTGACTGTCAAGGTTTTAATAGAGGTTATCACAGAATCATTATTGCTTCACAGCAGACATACCAACTTGCTGGCAATACTCTGCAGCTTAAAATTTCTGTTATATGCATGTAAACACGAGAGTTTTTGTGCCCCAGGCCATATCCGCTGACTTTAGGAAACTAAATACTGTACTCAAATCTTCTGTCTTAGAATTTACTGATCTATCCTATTTCATTTGTACCAATTTTTGTCTACCAGAATGTTAAAACATTGGTTTTCATGCCAGATTAATATTTGGTTCTCTTTTTGGATAAAGAATTATGGCATTGGGTGACTTCCTAAGAGATTTGGAGCCATAGAATAAAGAAAGAAGATGAGGAAACATAACAGAATGGAATGTTCCTTTTTTTTTCCTTTAAATCCTCAGATTCCAGCAGCTTGGTGTTCTCTGTGAATGCCTGGTCTTTGTACACAGAGATCACGTCCAACTTGCTTTAAGCATTGCTGTTGGCATGAGAGCAGATAAGTAATTTCTGAATATCCTTTGGTAGTAAAACATATCCACTGGGTAGGATTTTGATACAAGAAAATATTTACATGTACTAATTTTGAAAACAATCTTGGGACCTTGGGCTCTAGAAATAAAAGGATTAAAGTCAAATTAAGTAGATCAGATAAGTAAGCTTAGTGATAAGTTTAGAAGAAAGTTAATTATACTGTGCCTCTTTTCTCAATTCCACTTTAACTTAATTTTCATGGAAATCTACACGTGAAGGAAGTAAAAAAATTGTCAAATATGTACATTTTTTCCACCAAATTATAAGGCAGTACTAAATAAGATTGGGAATGCAGCAGGTAAATCCTTTCACAAAACGTAGGGGATACGGGCAAAGCAAAATTGAAAAATCATAGATATTTGGTGGTGTGTTTGTGTGTGGACCTAATTCTTCACGTCTGCTTTATGGAGTCTGGAAATAGTTCACAAATGATTTCCACATCCAGGTTTTGGCATTTTTGAGTTTGTGATGTGAAATTAAGTCTAGAATATTTACCTGCAAGCCCAATTTCAGTATGTGCTCTGCTTCCAAGTTTCACACATAATCAAAGACAGTGTTCTGTATAATTGCATGGTTGTATTAATGGGACAGTTGTGTCTTAGGTGGCCTTAGGTAGCATCAGTTAGTTCTGTGGTCATACTAACTCCTTTTACTAAGAGTTTCTGGCCTGGACATGAGTATTTACTCGGATTGCGTAATATGTTGTAGTTAGATTGCTGGGCACACACCATTGACTGCCTGTGCTATTGAACTAACCTTTGGCCTCTATCATCAACAGTGCTTATACTGGGAAAGCTTGAAGGCAGGAGTTTTTCTTCTCACTTCTCTCAGTTTCTTTGTTTCTGAGGCAATTGTCTTTCCTTGAAATCCAATCAAGTTTTAGAATTGGCACTCAACCATCAAGGAATTTAAAAGCATCACTAAAAATGAAAATAGATGTCCAGGTCAATTTTTCGATAAATGGCATTAACAGAAAAAAAAAAAGGGAAAATATTGGCTATCTGCTGCTAATTACTAACACTTTAGCATACCAAAATGTATTGTTAGATTTTCTAAACAAAAGCACAAACTGACTAAAACTAAAATAAGGCATATAAAAGTACTTTAATGGCTAGGCATTATTTTATAATGCCACAAATACAGGACACAAGGCATCTGAAATTTTTTTATTTGGTAATGCTAGATTTTGTAGCTTAGGCTTTTGAAAATTTCCATATTTTCATTGTCCACAGTCTGTATGTCTATACTCTTCTTCGTTTTGATTTTAAATTATCAGTCACCCCTTACCTTCAGTGGATTGTGTGTGTGTGTGTGTGTGTGTGTGTGTGTGTGTGTGTGTGGTGATTTAATTTGGGTTTTCTTATCTGATGCCATGGTTTAATTTGGGTTTCTTATCTCTTTCTGTGTTTCCTTTGTTGGAAGAGTATAAATCATAATGGTAAAGGTTTTCTCTTTGTCCCAAACCATCATAAATAAGCCCAAAGAACAGGCCATAAAAATGTAAGAAATTCTTAGATTAACAAACATGAGTAACGTTTTTTACCCACCTGGTGTTCAGAGGTAAAAGTACAGTTTGCAACTAGTAAATTATTAACACTTTTCTACCAAGGATTTCCTTCTTCCTTAGGATCTCTGTGATTAATATGTCGTCAGTTTAAGAATGAGAAGGGTGTCAAACATGATAAACATATTTTATAATCATGTATTCAAAAGAGGAATAATTCTAATATGATTATAATTAGTTGGAATAATTATACAATTATTCTAATAAATATAATATATAATAAGAATGTGCAGCATTCTTGGGGTGGGGGGAGCAAAGTGCTAGAGCGGCTGGGAACAGATTTCATATTTTTTTGAAGGTAATTCAAGGAGACTTAAAGGCAATTATAAGAATGCAAAATAACTAATGTAAATACCTTTTACTTTCTTGATATTTTATTTTTCTTCTCTAGGTAGCCATCTAATGGCTGTCATTCATTCATTCAGTATTTACTGAAACCCCAAGCAGGGGCTGTAGACACACAGTGAACAAGGTGGATGGGGCAGTCCTCCTGGAGGCTTCAAGTTCAGTGCAAATGGGCAGATGCAGCAAAGTCAATGCATGGAGGGGGAGACAGACATGTTTTCAGTGCAGTGTCAGGTGTGGTGATAGGAGGGGAACTAATCCACAACCAGGGCGTCAGTGAAGACTTCCTGGAGAAATAACCTGTAGCTGGGAAAGGAGATGGAGACAGGGGCGCTTTCTGGGAAGCCGAGAGTAACCCCCTTGAACCACTCTCTGGAAAAATTGTAGCTTCTAATAATCCTTGCTGAAACAACTCCATTTACGGAATACTCACAGCTTTGGTCTCTGTTTTAGATATTTTACATAGAGCTCACTGAATACCTCTAATACCCTGGAGGAATTAGCCCATTTTACACATGAAGAAACTGAGGCTCAGTGGGGGTGAGCAGCTTCTCTGATGTGTGTCCGGTTGGGATGGGAACCTCGGTCTCTAAGGCACCAAAGCTTCTGCTCTTTTCGAGAACTGCCCTGTGTCCATTTTCCACTCTGAACCTTGCAAGAAAATCCTGAATTTGAATTTTATTCTAGCTAATTCGGAGCAATTCACTAATTGCTCTGAATTTAGTGAATGTTGTCTTTATTTGTACAAATTAGCGTAAGTGGGATACTATTGCTATGTATCTGCATTGTGAACAGTAAATCACTAGGAGAATGAGTGTATAAGCAAAGATTTAAATAAAATTTTCTTTGCAAAAAAAAGAAATCGGACAAAGATTAATTGAAAGATATGTAGTGATCTTAAAACAGCTCAGGCCGAATGAGGTGAAGGCAGAGGATGCCCTCAGGTGACTCCTCAGCGGGAAAGGCCAAGGGGGCGGGGCTGAACTTTAGAACTTCATCCGATCTGTCAGTGATGCGGCTGTTTACAGGGCTGTTCCTAGGGGGGAAGGCTCACTCTGCATCAGCACGGAGCTAAGCCGCGGGGTGAGGGGAGCATCCCAGTCCAGGAAACCACCTTTTCAGCAATCTTCCCAGGCGAAGGCAGAACTGACTCAGGCAGCGTGGCCTTCTGCAGCCCCAGCAGAGGGCACCGGGGCTGTGCCGGGGAGACTGGAAGGACACCAGAGTACTTGGCTAAGTGGAAACAGCCAAGGGCGTCCATCAGCCTGAGGTTTATCCGTTGACAGGCCCCGCTGTTCCGGGAGGGCGATACTGATACTGCTGAGTAAGCCTCACACCCTAGCGAGAGGCCTGGACCACTGACGGAGTGTTAGGCGATGCGGGCGGGGCCGGGCCGGTGCCTGCTGCCGTGACGCCAGCACAGGCCAGCTGTCAGGGGCTGTCCCTGAGGGCCCCGCTCAGAGGACCCTGGCCATTGCCGCTGGATGGCGATGCGAGCCAGACCACAGAATGTTCCAGAAAACAGAGAAGGATGTATGTAAACTTCCGGCGGGACTTGGCTACCCGGGGCAGTGACAACTTCCAGGGTGGGATGGTAGGGAGGAAACTCTATAGAGAGAAAACCTCAAGATTACTGAGGAAAAGGAATCGCAGGATAAGTTTCTCTCTTTCTTTATTACGTATATTCCTGTGTGCACTGACCAGCAGACACCGAAGCCCGCTGACCGACCTCTCTACTCAGCAAGTGCCTGAACGTGGAGTCTGATAGGTGCAAG